GAAATAATTCTTACAGTTCATCAGTTTACTGTTAACGAACCGACGCGTAATTGTTCTTGCTAGATTGCATTGATGAATACATTTACCAATCACTGACTTCATAAATGTGCACTGGTACCACTGAGTGATGATCCCATTCGGCCTGAAACTAATCTAAAACCTTTTCACCTATTCGAGCAAACCGACAAATCCCTACCCATCCCTAAACCCCACACTGTATGAAGGTATTTAGACATCCGTAAGGTTCAATTTTTTTAATTACAGCGTCCTGCTCCTAATTCAAATTGAAAGGCTGGCGGTGGGCAGTGTACGAATGCGTTTTTGTGATTCTAGTTAATGAAAAATTAGTCCAAAACTGTACGGAATCTTTGGTTGTGCACGTGTGTTTAAGGGACTGGCAGGTGGGGACTACCCATTTTAGAAAGAAAATAATTCTGAACTGGTTTGAAAATGAACTCTTTCCAGAAGAATCTGGAGTAAAATCTCGATCTATTGGAGGGAAGAAATTTCACTCAAATTTATCCTGTCCTTGTATTCAATCTGAGGGAATGAATTTTCACTCGAATGAAGTGAATTTTTACCCTTTGGAATTTAAATCAGGACAAAAAATTTAAATGGCATCACGGTTTTAACCCAGCAGAGTCTTTTTTCAAAGTTAAAACAACCACTTGGACAGAGACAACGTGCAAGGAATCAAACAGGCATGAATATTATGTAGAAGGACAAAGGAAAGGGTGAGAAAGTTGGTGGTTGACTGCGTAAAAGGCATGCAAGATAGAAAGTGAACGAATACAATGGAAGGCGCTGGACCCTAAAAGGGGTGCATTATCTGCAAAAACACTAAAGAGGGAAAGGATTGTTAACTAGCTGTTCCCTTCTTCGATGTTCAGGCCCGTGAGGTTGCATGGTCTGGAGGCGTTTGATCCACAGCCTTTCCCTGCTGAAGGGAACGGCATCCATGCAATGTGCTAGTGATTCTATGCTCTGTATGATCATATCAGAAATGGAATGTTCGCAGGAAGGTTGAAGTAATGGCTGAAAGACGTATCTAGTAGCTTGATGCGGACTGTGGATCTATAGCCATAGAGCCATGATAGTGTTCTTGGCCTCTCCACAGGCACACCCTACAAGAGATAAGATAGAAGAGCTACTTAGAAGAGCTACGAATTGTGATGCCTTAGGTTCTGTGGGTCGTACCGGTTGCTTGCTTCTTGTCTCTGTCCAGTTGCCTTTGAGGAATTATCTGCATGGTTCAAACGTCTGGCCCTTCACCTGTCTCGATTTGTATCTTAGGTCAATGTAGCAAGCAAGCAGTTTGTATCAGTGTTTGTATTCATGCAAGCATGAAGGGACCACAAAAGCTTGCCAACCATAAGTTTGGAGATCGTCTGAAAGGAAATGACGAAAGCAGAGCCCAGACATATACAGAAAACGAAGTCAGACAGTAGAGGAACGCGTACAAATTCCCTTAATTCGGAGATTTAATCATTCCCCCGAGTTTCCCCAAACTGTCATTTTTAAAAGGGAATTTTGAGTGGAATCCCAAAATGCTACACGGGCACAATTATTATCGATTGGTCCCCAATATTTTTGAATAGAAAACGTGGCTTGAGTTAATTTATCAAATTGTGTTCTATTTTAAGGTTCAACGGAGTTGTACTAGAAAAAAAAATTCTTGATGTTGGTCGTTTTGGCCTTCAACTCCTTACAAACCCTTAATTACAAACCCTGTAATTCCACAAGTAAACCGTAGAGTTGTCTTTTATATCATGTTTAAACTGCAGTACAGTCTGTTGGGTGTATTTTTGTTTTAAATCCACGGTACACCCATTAAGTTTCAGGGCGTGGTAACGAGCTGAGGTCCCAACCTAACCTAATAATATACCTTCCTATTTTGGGCAACAATTTATCATTTGGAATAATGATTTTTATCTCCAATTATCTTGCAATTTCATGCACAGTCTTGGAGTTGCGATATGCTTTCCAATTCTCTTGGGTGAATTCAATTTCAGTCAAACGCGTGGCACATTTGCCTGTCCGTGTGAAGCTGAGCTGTTCAATTTTAACTAGGGGTATTGCCATTAATTTCAAACTGCTCGTGACTTTATTTGTTTGGCTGGCCTTAATGCAAATTTTGGAAAGTCATAAATGCGTTAGGTACTTACAAAATTATCGGTCGTATGTAAAGGTACATAAAAAAATGGATCCAACTTTATAAAAAAGAATCGTTAAAGGTTCATGTAAATACAATGGATGTGTTGGCCAAGTAGGAATAGAGAGAGAATAGTTGTCATTAATCCGCACAGACTTAGAACATCTATCAAAACTTCCCGTCGAAAAGTATATTAACCTTCATTCACAACTGACAATAATTCGCTTGTAATTTTACGTACCAGCTACTCGGCAGTCCGCGACATCACATACAGACAGGTATAGACTGTTAGTGTAATCACCAACGTGCAGGGTGTATTGTTCACCAGTGATGTTGAATGTCCGGTACCACGCCAGGTATCTCACCAATGACGTGTCCGGCCTACGTGCAAGCAGCTCCACCAGCAGCTCCCATCTGCCTTCCCCGGTGAGCTGACGAAGATACTCGTTACCCAGCCAGAACTCCCCTGTCAGATTACCGAATCCATCACGGTACTCGGCCCAGCTACGGGTGAAATTCACCGACCCGTCCTGACGCCTCTGAAACACCTGCAGCGAACGAGAACCGAAGCCCTATATTGTTATGAGTACAGACTATCCAAGGCGAATGTGGCGCCTGATTGTAGTGATGGTGGTGGTTGTGGGAATTAGTGGCAGTGGGCGTGACTCTTTTGATGGGAGGGGAGTATTGAGTGTGCAAACGTATTCAGGGCGGATCCAGGAAATTCTCCAGTCCAGAAATATATATTGAATATCTCATTTGGGGGGAAAACGGAAACGAAGATGAAACATTACATGACATACAGAGTTTACAGTGGTATGATAAAAATTATTTTCCCTATTTATTAAGCTTTTTGTTTTGTTTTTGTCTCTCAACGGGATCTTCGTCTGTCATGTGGCGATGGTGGATAAGGAAAGGTTGGTTGTATAGAATGAGTATGCAATTGTTGACAAAAAGAAGCGTCATCTGTGTGACGTCACGAATCTCGAACGACTCCAATGACAACAAAAGGATGAACCTGGACGCGTCTGTTTGGTCGAGAGTATGTGGAGAACTCCAGGTGAAGTAAACCTTGCAACGCTTGTAGCACTCTGATTGGTGAATTTAATGACCGAATTGTTTTAAAAGGCACAAACGATGCCCGTCTTTTATTTGCTGGCTAACGACCGTCACTAAGGCCATTTGTCTAGCTTTAGTAAAATGAGAATAACATCGTCGACGTACAGCAAACGGAATCGTCTCAGAAAAAAACTCAAAGCTGCAACTTCCGTTTATTATTAGTGTTTAAACTACCAGAGAAACGCGTTACAGAGGGCGGAAACAGAGAGAAAAACGATTTCCACGCACAACCAAATCGGCATCGGTCAGTTTATTCCCCCCAAGAGAGAGCCAGGAGTTGGACCGACACCAATGCGTATTTTTAACACAAAACCATTTACCCTAAATAGACAATTCCTTCTTTCTGAGGACAGCTTAATTTGTATCGGCACTCTCCTTGAAGGAACATCGGACGTTTTACAGTACACGAAATCATCAATTTTCGACGAGAATTTCACACTGTTGTCAATCAACCCACTCACGCTGAAGGAAATTTGGGCCACGCTGCACGCAAACGGTTCATGAACTGGCATTTTTTCAAAGCCAATCTTAATTTATTGGCATCTTACACTCTACTCTCGTGAAAGGAAAATAATTGGCCAGTGTTAAAATGCATAGACAGGTACATTTATTTCTGAAGATCACTAATTAGACACTAGTCACTTGGTTCTATTACATTACCCAACGCATAGGTGAACTGCACAAGCAGTTTAAAAATGTGACCCAGCACATCGAAATCAGGAATCGAAATCAGGAATAAATCTTAAATTGACTTTTGAGATACGGCTATCACTGTCGCGCCAGGGCGACAGGGCAAGGTGACGCAATTTTGGCAGCTATAACAACACCATACAAAAGACTAAGGCTTATTGAAACTATATTCCTGCATGCTATAAATGCAGGTGAAAGATGCAGCAAATTTGAAAGTCCTTATGTGTAATGCTAGGTTATTAATAAATTGCACAACCTAATAGTGCAATCACACAATTTTGCGCATACATTTAAGCATCACATTTATTAATGGAAATCAATCTCAAAGCATAAACTTGAACAAAACCGAGTGAATCGTCACTAGCTAGCAAACACGTTAAATTGTCTGGGCAAACCTACTTGAGAAAAAAATAGAGAACAGCTGTAGTAACGTTTTCTAATGCAGGGTAAATGTGAATAACCACAAAATGGAATAAGAGTTTCAAAGAGCAGATACTTGTCACATACGCCTTCAATTAGACTAAGTAATTACCAACCATTTGTACAAACAGTAAGGCACGACGGCACGATACGACGACACAACGCAGCAGCACGACGACGGTGCGACGACACGACGCGACGGCAAGACATCAGGACGCGACGTTCTAACCCACACTGTTTTAAAACCGTACAATTACAGGCGACGCAATGCACAACAGCACAACGCGACGCTACGACGGCAAGACGCGACATCACGACGGCAGGATACGACGGCAAGACGGCACGACGCAATGCATTTAACACAGCATAAAAGTAATGAGAAAGGAGGTCACACAACAACGCGACGCAACGGAGCTGTCGTAGCGTCGTGTCGGGGCGACGGGAGGACGCGACGCAGTTTTGGCGGCTATAGAACATCATATTTGTGTGATTAATCTTACCTTTATACAACTGTGTCTTTCGAGATTTTGCCGTTTCCCTGATACAACTGTTTTAAAGGAATAAGGTGGGTGAAGTACTGTCGCCATACAAATTTTGTTGCAAGAATAACAACATTTTGTTGAGTGAAAAAGACACTTTATTCTATGAAACAGACATGGAAATAACACAGTTGCAGGAAATACAGAGAGACTAGTCAGTAGTCAAAATGGAAGGAAAGGGAAGACTCCACTAAGTGGGCGTGTTCGACGTACCCAGCTGCATCTGTAATAAAGCGCGTAATCACTTGCTTACTATCCATCGCTTTTTCCTCAAATGAAGTGTTTTCCCCTCGTCAGAACTATCCGCCCCCCCTCCTAAAAGTGCTGTTTCCTCTGTTTCCTTGACAATTTTTTGCTTTTCCCTGAACAAATTCGTTTGCGAAAG